TGAGCCAAACCGGCCAGGGCACCTCTCTGAGTCTTTTTGTCTCAGGCCCAGATCATGCTTTTTTAGCAAAGCCTGTCCAATACCCCAAGCTGCTGAGTGGCCCCTCCTTTAAACCCTCACAGTGCACATGCATTTCTCCATTAGGAACAGGACACACTTGCATTAGAACTTAGTCTCCTCCACTAAACTGATTCATTGAGGGCTCAGATTGTATCTCTTTCATCTCCATAATTAACATCTAGAAAAGGATCCTCAATTCTCTTTTAGATGAGTAAATTAGCCACTGAATGTAAGTTGCTTCTCATAGGCTTAACTTATGCTCAGGAAGTTCTGGTTTAAATTGGGTTTATAGCACTTCCAAAGTGTGGAGCATTTATCTTGAAGTCTGATCCTTTCTTTCGTTGAAGGGGTGGGAGGTGGGGAGCAGGGAGGTTGGAGCAATGTGACACTACTTCTTTCCTGACATCAACTCAGGGGAAGAGAGTAGGAGTTACCAAACTGACTCTCAAAAGGAGGACAACAGACCCAAATTCACACTCAGAGCTCATCACAGATTACCAATCACAATGCAACTTGCTACAACGGGAATTCCCTTTGAAGAGGTCATGCCAAAGTTTGGGCATGAGACTTTTTCATGTGAAGGGAGCAAATGGGGTATCGGGATTGTCCATGAGAATCTGGGGAGGGCTCCAACCATACAAAATAGCTGTGAGCCACAGAATGCTTGTTCAGCTCATTAGCACCTGCTGCTTACAGTGACCATTCATCCAACAGATTGGCCTTGAACAAGATGATGGGATCAGCGGGTTCATGCCCTAGAGAGCTTTGCTCATCATTAACATGAGCTATGTCCTGTTCGGGAACCATTCCACTTGAAGGAACATTGCAATGTAACATGATAAATATTTCCCCATCATGAGTGGATATTTGCCTAGAAAGATCTGCACAAAGGTGGCTGCATTTTGCATGAGTCACATGCTGGTGAGGCATAGGTAGCACTAAAAACTAGTCCCACTTGAGTCTTTGAGTCAAGGAGTATTTACCTGCTTCACTATAAACCTCAAAGGCCTCTGACGTCTGGCTTTCATTATTTAAGTATCCTCATTCTTCACAGGGCAGAATTACCTGTTTATAATACCAGCAACTACTATGCACCTTAGAAATGGATAGACAGCAAGCACAAGTTTGAACATCTAGTTCGGAGGGGATTTCCTCTACCTTCAAAGTCAAATTCTGCTCAGAATTTGATATCAGAAATCATGAACCTCAGCCTCTGGAAAGTTGGGAATGGCAGCCAGAGGGAAGCAAGTTGCACCACTCTGGCTGATATGAGAGGAGAGACTAGCCCTGGAAATTCCGCACAAACTCAGAAAGAGAACAACAGTACATCCCCCACCTCCCACACGTCCACCTCATCTGTTCTCCTGAACAAGCACAAACAAGACACAGCAGTTTAGTATGCCACTACTGAAACAGTGAGTAATGGGCTTCTAGGAAACAGGCTGGTGGTGGCTAAGAAGAGCTCACGAGGTTGTACTCATATAACCAAAGGAGGAAGGCAACAGCCATGTGCTTGCCTTGATCTACATTTAATGGGGCTATGGCTTTAAAAAGAAAATAGCCAACACCATGATCCTATTCCCCCTATGCTTTTAAAAAGGCACAGTGAAAGTCCTTACTACAGACATTGAAAGGCTGCTGGATAACCAAAGCTGCTAGTGTTACCTTAGGAACCCTTTTGGGAATCTAGTCTCTCCCTCTGTCCTTTGTCTGCAAACTCCTCTCATCCAGAAAGATTCCTGGGCTTTTCTCACATCATCAGGCCTATTTCTTCAGACTTCTTCCTCGGCAAAACTGTCAAAGAATTCTGCTTCTCTTTCAAAGCTGCTCTTCTGGTCTCACTAAGTTTAACTATAGAGAAGCTGACAGAACCTGTTCCCATAAAACAAACACAATCAATCCCTCCCAGTTACTGGTATAACTCAGTATATTTTCATCCTAAGATTCTTTCTGGCGCCTGATCTGGAGGGTGGTAGCGTGGAAAGAACCTTGGACTTGCTATCAGAAGAGCTGCCACTTACTGGCTATGAAATTACAGGCAGGTTATTTTGTTTCTCTGAAACTTAGTTTCCTCAATTTCTAAGACAGCAATTTACTGGGAGCATTTGAGATCTTGCTTCCTGACACCGTCCTCAGTCTGGCTCAAACAGTTACAAAAAGTTTTAAATAAAAATAAGAGATTTATTGTCCTTAACTATAATACTCTCATGGAGGATTAAGTGAAATAATACTCTAAAAGCATCTGACATAAAATGTGAATACATGCAGTGTCATCTCTAACAACTAAATTGTGTTTGCCTCTTTTCCACATGGGACCCGAGTAGTACTTCTTCTCTCTACCCCCCCCCCCATCTTTTAATGTTTCTTTTCAGACCTCAGCTTCCTTCCCTTCCCAACATCTCCCCATAATGCAACCTTCCCCTTTCCCCCTCACAATGAACCCTCAAACATTCCCTCTAACCAGTCCCTTTACTTTACCTTCCTACAGCACCATATCCTGGGCCAGAGTTCTCTCACTTTAGGAATCTGTTCTATTATTAAGTCTCTGTACCACAAATACAAATGCCTGCTAAAAACTCTGTATGGCCCTCTTTGGAAGCTGAAAGGAGACACATTGCTCACTAGTCTGTCCTCTGTTGTGAGCCATGATGCCTGCTGCCTTCTGATGAAACTAGTTTTTATGATGTTACATCATCTCTATAGAAACTGAGTTCTTTCTCCATTATTAGCCTGTTTCCTCATCTGTAAAGCTAAAAATACTTACCTCACAGGCTTGTTGTAAGGATTATGTTAGTCAGGTATGCAAAGAGCTCAGCAGAGGGCTTGGCTTGCTATAAGTACCCAACAAAACGCAGCAATTATCTTTGCTTTTGTATTGAGTTGCATGTTCCCACTTTCTGCTGCCACACTTTAATTCTCCCAACCCTCTCAAAAAACTGTTGAGAAATAACTCTCCTGCAGCAAGGAAAGGGTTAATTTCTAAGTGTTCTTAACTAGAGAGACCCACAGAGGATTAACAGCTCCACTTCAGTGACTACCCTAAAATAGCTTTTATCCTTCCTCCCTAAGAGCTACTTGGGGATCTGAAGAACTCAATTCAACACCTGCCGAGGAGGAAACACACCCTGAAACCCATTCCTTGGGGTGGATAAAATCTTCCTTTAAGCAGAACCCAAAATAGCAACTGGGAAATTATAAATAGATTTAAAGGGGAAAAAAAGGAAAGAAAAAAAAGGTCCTGACCTGGGCACCAGAAACAAATCCACAAGACACACTGACTGGCTGGAAAACAGTGAGAATCAAGAAAGAAAATTAGGTGCCCCTCTCACTCCCTCTCTCACCAGCACTCAGAAGTGGTGGGAGAATTAAATTACAGAGAGGCTAGAGTCTCAGTGACTTGCATCATTCCAAGAGACATCAAACTGGATTAACAGGGGTTGGATCTACTCTTGGGCTGCTAGTTCTGTCAGTTTAGATGGGCCCTCTCTCGAGTCCCTTTGATTCGCTATTTTCTCTCATTCCTGCTGACTCCCACTCCTGAGGAGGCCTTGAGAAAAGGCTGTAACTCACTACAGCCCCATTTTCCTTAAGAGGAAACCTGATCAGATACCCACACTCACCCCTGCCCCAATCTAGTGGCCTTACCTGGTGTTGGAAGATGGGGGGGGAGGGATTAGAAACCCAAGGCCAGCCTCTATCACAGTCCTAAACTGACACATGGAAAAACACACAAGCCAGAAGACAAGCTACACTGGCAGGTGAAGCACCAACACCAGTTTGTCCCCATATCTTCCACCTTACAGGTCCCTTTCCCCCACCAAGCTGGGGCCACAGTGTAGAGCTGGATTTGCATGAACAGCCTGGCTCCTCCAGCGACTTCTAGACCACCCCACTGTGGTGGGAAAGGTTACTTTCCCGAGGCTGGGAGAGATGGGAATGGATGGCTGCCCAGGAAGGAACAAATTCAGGGATGGGTCTGGAGATCTCAGGGATGAGAAGGGCGGGCAAGTACGGCAAGGAATTATGAGCAAGCTAACTGAATCTCTAAGGCACCCCCTCAAAAAGAAAGAGATGGGGGAATTATAAGGTCTATAAGGTTCCAGATAATCACAAGTGAATTCCCAGAATTTCAAGAATCTGGAAATGGGTATCTGGATGGAAGATAGCTAAGGCTGGGGAGGATGGTCACTGAAGACAGAACTATAGGTAGGTGTTATCGGGGTTCTCTAAAACCAAGTATCTGAGAGAAGCCTCAAAAAGGGTTGTGAGGTTCTGGAAAATGAAACAGAGGGTAAAGAGCAGACTATTTGGAACAGGGAAGGGGGTTTTGTGGGTCTGGGTAGGCGTGTCTGAGGGGAGGGAGCAGGTGCAGCTTATCTGGGTCTCCAGGGACCCTGGGGGTCGGGGATAGTGGACCCTTCGGGCTGCGTCTCCATGTCTCGAAAGGGAGGGGGGCCAGTGGAATTTCCTCGCGTCCCCCAGACCCAGGTATCGGGTCCGGGGAGAGTTTTCATCACCCTGGGGCCTATTTGGGCCCCGGCTGACGCATAGGGGGCCCCGGTCGGGGGTGTGGACGACCGCGCTGAAGGGCCCAAGAAGAGGGGCGCCGCCGCTCCGGTTCAGGGCGCGCGGGCGCAGCGAGACGGCCTCCCGCCCCGCTCCCCGCCGTCCCCCGGGGCCCTTGCCGGCACTCACCGCGCTCGGGGCCCCGCACTGCGGGCCGGGCCGCGCTCGGGCTCCGCCAGGCCCGCTCAGGCCCCGGTAGTGGCGGCGGTCGGGCCATTGTACGGTGCATTGTGGGAGCCGCGCGAGCGGGCGCTCGGGCCGTGGAGGGGGCGGTGCCGCGGACTCTCTATGGTCCCGCCCGCCCTCCTGCTAGAGCGGCCGGGGCGGTGCGCGGGCGGCGCGCGGGGATCGCTGGGAGCGGGGCGGACGCTCACGCCCCTCCTTCCCTTACCGCCTCCGCGCCGCAGCCCGCTTGGGCCCTGGAGCCGATATGGGCGCCGCCGCGTGGGCATGGCTGCCCTTGCCGCTGCGTGTGTCTCTCCTGCTACTGCTTCTGCCGCTCCCGGGGCTGCCCGCGGGCTCCTGGGATCCGGCCGGCTACCTGCTCTACTGCCCATGCATGGGTAAGGCCTCCCGAGCCCTCTGCTCAAATGAGGAAACTGAGGCCCAGAGAGGCGAAGCCACTCCTCTGAAGCGCCCAGAGTCTCCTTGACAAGTCCAGGAGAGAACCCCATCGTGGGCACTGAGGGGCCACTGTGTTCAACCTTCCATTTGGCAGCAGATGAGGAAACAGGCTGGAAGAGATTACATGTCTTGTGCAAGGTCTAAGCTAGCCTGGAGTCCAGTAAATGGAGTTAGTGGGGCAGGACTTGATGCCACTGACCCAACGCGGACTCGAGGCGATTCTTTCATTCATTCGGCAAATATTTACAGGGCGCTTACTTTGTGTCCAGCCCTGTGCTCTGCTCTAGGGATACTGCATTGATAAGACAGAAAACTCCATGGCCTTGTAGAGCTTCCATTTTAGTTGGGAAAGACAGTCAATAAAAGATAAATATAAAAAGTCAGTAATACATGTTATTACTTATGGGAAAATAAAGTAGAGAAAGGTAAGGGAGAATCTAATGGCCGGCTGAGGGGTACAATTTAAATGGGGTGGTGGACCATCATTGTAAAAATCATGCCTTCTTAAAATCCTCCAGACCCCTAACCATAATGATTTGGACCTCTGCTCAACTTCACACCCTTCTTCCCAGATCCTCCTACTGTACGCTTAACCCCCTTTCTGCTCTTCACACATATTCAGTTCTTGCAGCCTGTGCTATTGCCTGTACTATTCCCTCTACCTGGAACACTCTCCTTCACTTCTACCAGACCTACTCCTTCTATCCTCAGGTCACGGTTTAAATGTCACCAAAAAGGAATTCACTGACCACAACTGAAATAATGTCCTTATTGTTCTCCATCACCAAACTTTTTTTCTTTCATTTTTGAAATTATCAGAATGTATCACTATATATTTATTTACATGTTTAATGTCTCCCTACCTAGACTGTGAGTGCCTTAAGGCCAGAGACCTTGTCCTTCTTGCTCATTCCTGTATTCCATCACCTGCCAGAGAGCCTGGGACATTGTGGCCTCTCAATAATATTTGTGGGATGAATGAATGGATGTCATGGTAGCGGTAACAAAAAGAATCAGGATTCGAGGCTGAAGAAATGATCAGTAGAAAGGCCAGGAAGTGGGCCTTTGTGAAGTACCATTAGTAACTAGAATAAGTGAAGTACTATTAGCAATTCAAGTTCAAGATGGGAAGCAGAGGAGGGGGCTGAGTAATGGCAGCAGGTTAGTGAAAGGATCCCAGTGGATGAAACATTGGAGTTGTCCCTCCTTGCACAAGTGAGTAGAGATAGAAGTGGAAAGGCATGCCTGGAGCAGCAAAAAACAAATGCTTGGGTTGAGAATATGTAGAGTAGAAGTATGGAACATGTTTGGAAAACAGCAGGGAACCCTTGAAGCAGAAGGGACAAGACCTAAAGAGCCTTGATTATGAGACATCTAGACTTGATCCCAGACTACCAGCTCCCCTGGCTCTCCCCAACCCTGGTTCTGCATCCTTTATGAGCCCTGCATTCCCCATGCCCTCAATGCCCCAGACCTCACCTCTCTCACAATATACCATCCAGGGCGCTTCGGGAACCAGGCTGATCACTTCTTGGGCTCCCTGGCATTTGCAAAGCTATTGAACCGCACCCTGGCTGTACCCCCTTGGATTGAGTACCAACATCATAAGCCTCCCTTTACCAACGTGAGTACCTCCCACTGACCTTGGCCCTTGTCCACCCTTCCCCAATCCTGTTCACCTCTATCTGACCCACAAGTCCTCTGGGCTTTACCTCCCACCCCCCTCTGTGCTTGCCCTACCCACACCCAGAACTGTCTTCCCTGGAATAAAATAAGTAGTATTTATCCTGCACCTACTTGCTGTCTGCAGGTACTGTTCTGAACACTGCCTGAAAATTAGCTCTTTTCTCCCTCATCACATCCCTATGAGGAAACTGAGTTAAAGAGATTAAGTAATTTGCCTGAGGTCACACAGCTTGTGAATAATAGAGTTGGAATTGTCATGCTGTCTAACTCTAGAGCCTGTGACCTCAATCTAAAGCCCCATTCATTTCCAGCCCTGGTTGATCCCACCCTTTGTGCATTCCATTGGTTAAAAAGATGATAGAGCCCTAGCCGGTTTGGTTCCACGGTTAGAGTGTCAGCCCACAGATCAATGAGTTGCAGGTTCAATTCCGGTCAAGGGCACATACTTAGGTTGTGGTTCATCCCCGGTTCTGGTCAGGGTCAGTCATATGGGAGGAAACCAGTCGATGTATCTCTCTCACATCGATGTTTCTCTCTCCCTCTCTTCCCTCCCTTCCTCTCTTCTTCCCACTCTATCTGAAGATAAATGGAAAAATATCCTCCAGTGAGGATTAAAAAAAGAAGAAGAAGAAAAGATGATAGATATTATTGTAAGTTTTGAAAAATAAACTGAAGCACAGGTTGGTTAAATAATGTGTCTAAGTCCACAAACCCAGGCTCCAGCACCGCCTCTCACCCCATCACGGGGCTCCCTGAGCATAGTTATGCTTAGCATCTTCTAATTCCTTTTTTATTCTTTGTGTCTTCCACTGGCCCATGTCTGTCTTTGTTTGCACTGTATCCCCAGGGGCCTTGCAGTAGTAACTGAATTAATATTTAATGAAATGACTTTAAAAGTTTCCAATAAACTTTTAAAAATTATACTTAGTATGTACAAAACATTATTTCATTTTTATAGTCTTTTCTCTGCATAGGTTTTATTTTTGCTTTGCATGTCTACATTTAGAGAGGTTTTTAACAAAGATTAAAAACCAGAGTACCTGAGATCATAGCCTGGCTTGGTCACTTACTAGCTGTGTAGACTGGGCAGGGTAATTGAGCTCTTTGTTTCCTCATCTTTAATATTTTTTTCTGTATTGATTTTAGAGAGAGGGGAAGGGAGAGGGAGAGAGAAATAGAAACATTGATGAGAGAGAACATTGACTAGCCACCTCCTGCATGCCCCCTACTGGGGACTGGGCCCACAACCTGGGCATGTGGCCTGACCAGGAATCAAACTGGCGACCTCTTGGTACATGGGTGGATGCTCAACCAGTGAGCCACACTGGCCCGGCTGTTTCCTCATCTTCAAAATAGGCTGGTAATAATGGTTGTTACCTTCGACCATGAGTTAGTGATTGTGGCATATCACGAACATTGTATGTCTCCTTCTTAGAATCATCTGAACTCATCAACATATAAAGTGCTTAGGACACAAAGAAGTCCTTAGTAACCAGGAGCCATTGATGTTCTGATTTTTTGCACTCACTGTTATAATTTAGACATTGCCCATTCATCTCCCTCTGGCTTGCTTTTTTTCACCTTGCCTTCTCAGTGAAGTCTTTTTTTTTTTTTTTAATCCTCACCTGAGGATATTTTTCTATTTATCTTCAGATAGAACAGAAGGGAGAGAGAGAGAGAAACATCGATGTGAGAGGGACACATCGACTGGTTGCCTCCCACACAACCCCGACCAGGGCCGGGGACAAACCACAACCGAGGTATGTGCCCTTGGTCAGAATCGACCTGGTCCGAGGGCCAACACTCTACCACTGAGCCAAACTGGTCAGGGCTCAGCCAAGTCTTGGAGTCTTCACTTCATGCTTTATACAGGTTACTTAACCCACACCAGTAAGGCTCCCCTTCCCTACTGGGACCATTCTCACAGAACTCACCAGGGACCTCAGAATTGCCAAATCCAGGAGTCATTTCTCAGTCTTTATCTCAGCTGACCTCTTAGTGACACCTGGCCTTGTAAGCCTCTCTCCTTCCTAAACTTTCCTATTCCCCTGGCTTCCTGCTTCAATTCTGACCTCTCAGCATTTTTCTCTTTGTACTATATCAGGGGCTTCTCTCTCTCTACCCACTGTTTAAAGGTTGGTGCGTCTTCTCTTTCTGTTTGCTTATTAACTATGTGACCTCAGATGAGTTACCCAGATTCCTTCCACCTGGGTTTCTTCATAAGTAAACTGGAGATGATTGTATTCCTTCCTCCTCTTGGAATTAGATGGGCACACCTTGGCCAGTTTGACTTAGCAGTTAGAGTGTCAGCCTGTGGACTAAAGGGTTTGATTCTGGGTCAAGGGCACGTGCCTGGGTTGCAGGTTCGATCCCCAATCCTGGTCTTGCAGGAGGCAACCAAATGATGTGTCTCTCTCACGTTGATAATTCTCTCCCTCCCTCCCTCCCTTCCTCCCTTACACTCTATCTGAAAAAAAAAAAAAAAATGAATGGAGCCTGGCCAGTGTGGCTCACTGGTTGAGCATCCACCTATGTACCAAGAGGTTGCCAGTTCAGTTCCTGGTCAGGGCATATGGCCAGGTTGTGGGTTCAGTCCTCAGTGGGGGGCATGCAGGAGGTAGCCAGTCGATGTTCTCATCAGTGTTTCTATCTCTCTCTCCCTCTCCCTTCTTCTCTCTCTAAAATCAATAAAGAAAAAAAATGTTTTTTTAATGAATGGAAAAATATCCTCGGGTAAAGATTGACAAACAAACAAACAAACAAAAAGAATTAGATGGGCAAGTCCATAAATGTGATGCATATAGCACCTGGTGCTAAGTCAGCACTCAATAAATATTAGTTGCTATTATCACTATTCTTTGCTTTGCTATAAATTTCTGTTGACTTTTGTGGCTTTCACTGTTCTCCATGTACTTCCCAAGTTTATCTGTGACCCAGACTTTCCTCTGACCATAGGCCTCTGTTTCTAACTCCTAGGCCTTTAAGTCAACTTGGATATTCCACAGATATCTCAAATTCTCAAATCCAGAACTTGGCATCTTTCTCCTTAAACCTGTGTTACCTCCTATATCCCTGGCCTTAGAGTGTATGTCACCTGGATACCAAGCTAGGAATCTACAAGTCATCCTAAATGCCTCCCTTTACTCTCTACTCCACCTTCTTTTACATATTCTAGCATTTCCATACCTCTCCATCTTTACTTGGACTTATGAGCAACACTCAAAAATATGTGTTGAATGAATACATGAACAAATGAAAGGACCACTGAAGTAGCCTCCTAATCCCCCATAATCCAATCAATATATTCTCTCTGCCACCAGAGTGATCTTTCAAAAAGGTAAATTTCACCCTGGCCAGTTTGGCTCACTGGTTGGAGTGTCGGCTCGAGGGCCAATGAGTCTTGGACTTGATTCCGGTCAAGGGCACATACCTCGGTTTCGGTTCATTCCCAGCCCTGGTTAGGGTCCTGCAGGAAGCAACCAGTCGATGTGTCCCTCTCACTTTGATGTTTCTCTCTCTCCTTCTCTCTCCCTCCATCCCTCCCACTTTTTTTGAAGATAAATAGATAAATATTCTGGGGTGAGGATTAAAAAAAAAAAGGCAAATCTCATATTATTTCTGCTTAAAGTCCTTCAGCAAGACCTTGTTGCTAATAGTTAAGGTTTCCAAAACCTGTTCTTTGGAACACCAATGATTCATAAAAGAAGTGTGCAGTGGTTAAATCACTTCTCAATTTCCCATCTCCCCAAAATTAGAGATTCAGAATGCACATTAGCATATTAAAAGGCCCTGAGAAGTCTTGTAGTAAAGAAACCCGTTTAACACAGTATTTCCCAGGTCTGTTTAACTCTGAAGTCCTTTTATTGTAGAACCCTTTATCCACCTGAACTAGTGGAACATGCTTGGGAACTCTGACCTATAGGATAAACTCTAAATTTTATTCCCTGGTGATCTAAGAAATTCTTTTTAATCTAGAAAAAAAAAACAACAGATCAGTATAATCACCATCCATGAAAAAAAAATCACCATCTATATACTCACCACTAGAAGTGATAATCATTAACAGTGTATCATCTTTGCTGCAGATAAAATTGTTAAAAGATAAAATCTCTCTTGGCTCCTGAGGCTAATCCTAATCCCTCCCTCTACCCCCAAAACAAAACAACCACTATTAAGGATTTAGTGTCTTTGGTGTGACTCCTTCCAAGTTTTTTCCTTGTATTTGAGAGTCCTTGTACCCATCTCCTGGTACATAATGGAAGAACTTCTCTAGGGCAAATACCTAGAGGAGATGGAAAGAGCATTTTAAACTCTGTTAGATGCTGCAAGATTATATTCTAAAGAGGTTGTTCCAAAATGTACACTTCTACTCTAGCCAAGCCTTTTTCCCATATCTCTTCCAACAATTGCAATTAAGTTTTTACATTTTTGTTAGTCTCATGAGTGAGAAGTATTGCCTTATCATTATAATCTGCTTTTTCCTAATTACTAGTGAAGTTGCACATCTTTTGAGTGTGTTGGCTATTTGTTTTTTGTTTTTGTTTTTTTTTTTGCTGTGAGTTGTTCACTCCTATCCTTTTCCTGTATTTTCTTTTGCGTCATTTCTCTCTCTTTTTAAAAAAATATGTTTTATTGATTGTGTTAGAGAGAGAGAAAGGGAAAGGGAGAGAGATAGAAACATTGATGAGAGATAACATTTATTGGCCACCTCCTGCACTCCCCCCTCTGGGGATCGAGCCCGCAATCCGGGCATGTGCCCTGATCGGGAATTGAACCAGCAACCTCCTGGTCCATGGGTCTATGCTCAACCACTGAGCCATACCAGCTGGGCTCTCTTTTTTCTTATAAATCAGTAGGCATTTTCTAACTCAAGTGAAATTACTCTTTGTTCTTTGCTTTACAGATATCTTGTCCCAATCTGTCTCTGTCCTAATTTGTTGTCTTTTGCCAAAAGTTTTTCATTGGCATGTAGTCCAAGCTGACTGGGTCTTGGAGTGTACAGTTTTAATAAATGTCTGTAAAACAGTTACTAGAATACTGAGGAGAAACTCCTGCCCTTCCTTTTCCCGCTTTTTCTATAGATCCATGTGTCCTACCAGAAGTACTTCAAGCTGGAGCCCCTCCAGGCCTACCATCGGGTCATCAGCCTGGAGGACTTCATGGAAAGGCTGGCACCCACCCATTGGCCCCCTGAGAAGCGGGTTGCATACTGCTTTGAAGTGGCGGCCCAGAGAAGCCCTGATAAGAAGACATGCCCCATGAAGGTGGGTTCTGTGGAGCTGGGGGACCCTTTCTGCCTGATCCATGTTCTCTAGGCCCATGAGATACTGTGTGATGGCACTGTGTTAGGGAAGGCACCAGAAGGGTGTAAAGTAGAAAGATGGAGATTTAAGTCCCATTTCTGGCATTTGCTGGTGTCACTTTGGGCAGAGGACTTTGCTTCCTCTGAGCCTTTATTTCTACCTACAAAACAAAGAGGACAGTGCTTGCTTCAGCAGTACATATACTAAAATTGGAATGATACAGAGAAGATTAGCATGGCCCCTGCGCAAGGATGACATGCAAATTTATGAAGCATTCCATATTTAAAAAAACAAAGAGGACAGTCTTTGCTCTGTCTCACTCATAAAGTATCACAAGGGCCAAGGTGTAAGAGTGCTTGAAAACTGTAAAGTGCCACATCAGTAATAGCAATTGATGCTCACATAGCACTTACTACGTGCCGTACCGTGCTAAGAACTTTACACTTATTAACCCACTTAATCTTCAAACTGCTCCATGAGGAAGGTACTATTAACATCCCTGTTTTAGAGGGCACTGAGTGCTACACAGAGAGTCAATATTTTGCCCAGGATCACATAGCAAACAAGTGGTGGAAGCACGATTCAATCCTAGGTAATTTGACTCCATTGTCCACTCTCCTAACTTGTACACTTTCTTGCCTTCAGCAGGTTAATGAGAAGCTATTATATTTTATCAGTACAGATTTATAAACTTGTAAATTTCTGGCACTTTGGGAATAAGACAATCCTTAATATGTCCTTCAGTGCTTAAGTTAAAGTATGGGAAGGGTGGTTAGAGGAGCCATGAAATGTAAGAAAAGTGACAGCTTATAGTCTTAACACTGCTCTCACTTGCTGCATGAACTTGGGCAAGTATCTTACCCTGTCTGGGCCCTAGTTTCCATATTGAAAGTAACAGCACTGGATTAGCTGGTCTTGAAAGTCTCTCGAAGCTCTAATCCATGGTTCCATATCCAAAGTCCACTTACTCCCCAGACCCATAGCAGAGCTACAGGGTCAGTGGGACATGGCATGTGAGCGGGAAAGACTCCTTCAGACATTGGTGAACGTCTCCTGCTGGAAACCAGACCGAAGGTGGAACCGGCCTCCTCAGACCCCAGACCAAGAATTACAAAGTGACATTCCTACTGGGCCATCCTATGAGGGTATTTCAGCTTAAGTCAAGTCACCCTGAGTTCCCCCACCCACAATTCCTTGGCCCCATCCCCAGTTGGCTTTCCTTCCCCCTCAGTAAGCTATTGACCACTCTATCTTTCTGCAGGAAGGAAACCCCTTTGGCCCATTTTGGGATCAGTTTCATGTGAGTTTCAACAAGTCAGAGCTTTTTGCAGGCATTTCCTTCAGCGCCTCCTACAAAGACCAGTGGATCCAGAGGTACATAGAGGGAGCAGTATTGCTGGGTTTGGGGAGGGTTATGGGGCCCTTGGGCATTCAGCACTCTCCTGGCCCTCTTTCCCTCTACCACACCCTAATATATGAGACCAAAGGTGTAGTCGGTCTGTCTGCTGAACTTGGGATCCTGTGTGATCTGTTCCCATCTCAACGCCTGACACAGTAGGACATTGACCCGCCATGAGGTTGAGCAAGAGTTTATCAGCCGATAAAGGATATCATAAAAAGAATATTATGCAGTCACATGAGTCTCGATTTCCTCCTCTAGGCGTGAGACTCGCTCCCTTGTTACCTTCCTCTTAACAAGGTGAAAATTGGAAGCAGCTTCTAGAGAACAACTTTAGGTGCGGACTGAGAAATTATGTCATCCTGATAATAATTGGATGTGCTTTATTAGTTGCACTCCAGTAGGCCTTATTAAAAAAATAGGTTAGCAGGGCATAGGCACAGGCCATGAAGTATTTATAGAGCGTCTGTCACGTATGAGACATAGTACTCAAAGGCCAGAGATGATACATAAAGATGAGGAAGACTCAGCCTTCAGCTAGCTACTGTCTAGTTATAATGATGATAACTAACAGTGTACTTGCCCTTGATGCTATAGTGTGTCAAAAAAGAGTGTGGGCTTAGGAATCAAACTTGAGTTAGGAGCTATAAGGAGCTTATGAGTTCATGCGTGGTTATAGCACTTGGTATTTAGTGGACCAGGGTAGAATGATGTAGAGCAACAACCACAGGCTCTGAATAAACACAGTCCTGAGCCCTGGCCGATTTGGCTCAGTGGTTAGTGTGTCGGCCCGAGGACTGAAGAGTCATGAGTTTGATTCCAGTCAAGGGCATGTACCTCAATTGTGGTTCATTCCCTGGCCCTGGTCAGGGTTGTGCAGGAGGCAACCAATTGATGTGTCTCTCTTGCATCGGTGTTTCTCTCTCCCTCTCTCTCTATTGTTCTAAGTCTTCTAAGGTAATAACTCGTTTAATACTTCCACAAATCTCTTGGGACAGGTGTTACTGTCATGTGTGCTTTACAGGTAAGGAAATTGAAGAAGAGAGGAGTGAAGTCACTTGCCAAGATCATACAGCCTGAAGTGACAGTCTGGGATTTGAACCCAGGCAGCCTGACTGCAGAGCACCCCCATACTTAATCACCGTGGCGAAAACAGCTGTGCCTTTAACAGCTGCCAATTCCTATCTGGTACTTGCCTTCAGAGCTAATTCATGAGCTACTTAGTCATGGCAACTTCTAATCCCCCTTATTGTTGGTCCCAGATAGGGCAGCCCCATTTAATCACCTACTTGGTTCTCCCATTCAGCTCTGAATGACTTGGAGCCATTGCCAGACCGGCAGACCTACCCTGAAGGGATAGAGATTTGCCCCTTATCACAGAATGCCAGGAAAAAAAGAAAAAAATGATACCAGCTCTAAAAACAGCTCCAAAAGCAACTTCCAGAAAGCCAGAAAAAGCACACAATCCTGGTTGGGAAAGAAGGGACAGTGTTGCATGGACGCATTAGTCAAGAAATGTTGCTGAAACACCTTTTTGTTGTCCCACAGTCTTTCTTTTTCTTTCTTTTTTTTTTACCCACAGTCTTGGAGTTCACTGAGTTGTAGGAATTGCATGAGAGTTTGGAGAAGTTTGTGCCTTACAGTGAAAATTGTAGGAAAAGACTTGTAGAGAAGATGAGGTCCCTGGAGGCAATTTGAGAGAGTTAGGGCTGCCTGGGCAGCTGCCTTCCTTCCACATATATTTAAGAAGCAATTCCTAAGTGTCAAACACTGGTCTGGATGCTGGGCATACAGGCAGGAATAAGGCAGTTAAGGCAGTTAAGGCCCTTGCTCAGATGGAGATGAATCTAATCGGGAGACAGTGAATAGTTTTACATAAGATTGTTCCAAAAGCCCTGGCCAGTTTGGCTCAGCGGTTAGAGCGTCGGCCTGCGGTCCGGAGAGACCCGGGTTCGGTTCCCGCTAAGGGCAGGTACCTCGGTTGCAGTTTGTCCCCGGCTCTCGTTGGTCGTGCGGGTGGCGGCCACTCGATGTGTCCCTTCACGTCGATGTTTCTCTCTCTCTCTCCCTCCCACTCTATCTGTACAAAAAAAATGGAAAAAGCCCTGGCTGGTTTGGCTCAGCGGTTAGAGCGTCGGCCTGCGGTCTGGAGAGACCTGGGTTCGGTTCCCGCTAAGGGCACGTACTTCGGTTGCAGTTTGTCCCCGGCCCTGGTTGGTCGTGCGGGTGGCAGCCACTCGATGTGTCCCTTTTACCTCGATGTTTCTCTCTCTCTCTCTCCCTCTCTCTCCCTCCCACTCTATCTGTACAAAAATTGGAAAAAAAATGTCCTCGGGTGAGGATAAAAAAAAAAAAATGGAAAAAAATATCCTCGGGTGAGGATAAAAAAAAAAGATTGTTCCAAAAGACATGGTGCTGTGAAGGACATAAACAGGTGATGTGTGATTGGCAGGCTGAGACCTTCATCAGCTTGGGCTGCTCTAATGAAATACTGCAGACTGGGAGGCTTAAACAACAGATGTTTATTTCTCACAGTTCTGGAGGCTGGGAAGTCTGAGATCAGGGTGCCAACATGGTTGGGTTCTGGTGAGGACTTCTTGGTTGTGGGTGCTGCCTTATTGCTGTACCCAAGCATGTTGGAAAGAGAGCAAGCCCTCTGGTCTTGTAAAGGCACAAATCCCATCATGAAGACTCTGCGCTCATGATCTCATCTAAAACTGCCTGCCTCCCAAAGGCCCCAACTCTTAATACTAACACGTTGAGGATTAGGGCTTCAACATAGGAATTTAGGAAGGGATGCAAACATTCAATCTGCAACAGACCTGAAGGATGAGGAGCCAGCTATGCAAAGAGATGGAGGGAAAGGTAGTTCTTCATGGTGGGGACAGGAACAGCGAGGCTCTGAGGCAGGAACAAGGTTGGTGTGGTCAAAGGGCAGGAAGACAGCCAGTGTGGCAGGTGTGGAGCACATGAGGAGAAGAACAGTAGGATGTTCCTGTCATCTGTTGCTGCATAAGCCTCTCCAAAACTCACTGTTCAATAACAATTTGGTATTTCTCAGCGTTCTGTGGGCTGACTAGGCTTAGCCAGGCGATTCTTTTGTTTTTTGTTTTTCTATTTCCTTTATGGAATTCCAACTGCACAAAGTTTCACTCCATATTAAACATCTAATTTCTTGGAATGAATACCCTTTAGAATGCCCTCCACAGACTTGGTGGGTTTTGTGTTTTTTTAAATAAAATGAAATTGTAATCCCACCACCCTTCCAAAATATACTATTAGAATTTTGATGTATATATTTCTACCCTCCAGTCGTTTTTATACAAATATATGCACTTACACATACTAAGTTGAAATTATATATAGTTCGTAATAAAATATTTAATTATCTATTCTGAGTTGTAATTAATATCAGTATTTACCAGGATAATAAATATTACTGGTAAGGTCAATTCTAAACCTATAAAAACATGAGATTTCAAAAAATGGCACTGGTATGCATATATGCCAATGGAATGTATGGGTTTGTTTATTTATTTAAAAGTTTATTTCAACAAAAAACAAAACAAAAAAGTTTTAAGTGTACAATTAAGTGGCATTAAGTATATTCACAGTGTTAGACAGCAATCACTACTGTCCATCTCCAGAACTTTTTCATCATCCCAGAAGAAACTCTGAACCCATTAAATGATAGCTCACCATTCTTCCCCAGCCCCTGGTAGCCTCTATTCTAATTAGCTTTCTATCTCTCTGAATTTACCTGTTCTGGGTACCTCATATAAGTGGAATCATAGAATATTTGTCCTTTTGTGTCTGGCTTATTTCAGTTAACATGTCTTCAGAGTTTATCCATGTTGTAGCATATGTGAGAATTTTAGTTCTTTTGAGACTGAAAGTAGTCCATTGTATGTATAGACCACATTTTGTTTATCCATTCATCTATGGATGGATACTTGGTTAGCTGGGCACTTCTTGCTTGTGGTCTCCATGTGGCTGCAGTTAGCTTTCAGTTGGGGCTGGCGTCATCTGAAGGCTCGACTGGACTGCATGTCCAAGAGGGCTTACATATGGCTGTCGTCTGGGAGCTCAGCTGGGGCAGTCAGCTGGCGTGCATGCACTGGACCTCTCCTTGTGGCTTGGACTCTAACAGCATGGCAGCTGGATTCTGAGAGAGTACATCCAAGGAGTGAGTGTTCCAAGAGACAAAAGGTGGAAGCTACTGACTCCCTAAAGGCTGGGCCTGGCAACTAGGGCAGTGTCACTTCTGCCAAATGCTATTGGGAGGGGGCATAGAGCCCACCCAGTAGGAGGAGATTTGCAGAATTAATCTGCCACACAGGACAGGAGATAGGAGGAGTGGACAGGGTCAAACCATGCAGGGCTTTGTAGGCAGTCTCATAGGAAACGTAGTGCTTTTTAGGGTATATGGATTTTCAACATCTAAAACAGTGGACACTGGCCCTGGCTGGTGTGGCTCAGTTGGTTGGAGTGTCATCCCATACACCAAAAGGTAGTGGGTTCGATTCCTGGTCAGTACACATACCCAGGTTGTGGGTTCAATCTCCGATCAGGGAGTGCATTCGGGAGGCAACCAACCAAGGTTTCTCATATCAATTTTTCTCTCTCCTTCTCTCCCCCTCTCCCTCCCTCCCTCTAAAAAATCAATTAAGCCCTGGTTGGTTTGGCTCAGCAGTTACAGCATCGGCCCACAGTCCGAAGGATCATGGGTTTGATTCCTGGTCAAGGGCACATACCTGGGTTGCAAGTTTGATCCCCAGCCTCAGTCAAGGTCCTGCAGGAGGCAACTAATTGATGTGTCTCTCTCACATCGATGTTTATATCTTTCCTCTCTCCCTCCCTCCCTCCCTCCCTCTCTTCCCCTCTATCTAAAAATCAATGGAGAAATATCCTCGGGTGAGGATTAACCAAAAAATCAACATAACATAAAATAAAATAGTAGACACTGTAGAAAATTATCCTCTGGAGGCAAGGATATGAGTACAGGGAGAATGGCATCGGAAAGTGTCAGGCTTTTCCCTGGTTTACTGTGTGACTCAGCAGACTGCTTCCCTTCTCTGGCTACAGTGCTCTGTTTATAAAATGAAGGGGGGAGTAGGGTCAGTGATTTTCAAACTGTTCCTTGGAGTTCTTGAGAAGTGCCACGCAGGCAGCAATGGGGGGCCAAGTTGGAGGGGCTCAGTTATTTTCCCCTACCTCCTTCAACCAGTAACCCTCTTGTGTATCACCCATAAGTTTGGATGGCCACAGGTCTAGATGTTTCAGGCTTCAGTTAGGCTACATGTAACAAAACCCAAAATGACGGAAAGTTAAAAAGATAGAAGTTTATTCGTTTTTAATTTATTCATTTAGGGAGAGAGGAAGAGGGAAAGAGAGGCATCAATTTGTTGTTCCATTTATTTATGCATTCATTGGTTGACTTTTATATGTGCCCTGATCAGGGATTGAACCTACAGCCTTGGTGTATCAGGACGACGCTCTAACCAACTGAGCTATCAGGCCAGGGTGAAGTTTATTATTTTCTTCAGTAAAAAAGTACTGGGGTAGCCCTGGCCAGTGTGGCTCAATTGGTTGAGACAAGCCTGGGTTTTGGGCTCGATCCCCAGTGTGGGATATGTGGGAGGCAGCCAATTGCTGTTTCTCTCTCATCAATGTGTCTCTTTCTCCATACCCCTCTTTCTCTCTCTAAAATCAATAGAAAGAGTAGGGTACAGACTGACAATCTTCAGAAGAGAGGGTGGTTGGGGAGGAAAGAGATAAACCACAGAACTTATATGCATGTACGCATAAATGATGGACATGGACAACAAAGCTGGGGACGGGGTGGGGGGATGGGGAGGAGGGTGTCAATGGGGAAAAAAGGAGAAACAACTGTAACAAAAATAAATTAATAAAAAAATAATTTAAAAAAATGAAAATAAAGTAAAATCAATAGAAAGATTTTAAGTACCAGGGCATGCAACCCTGACTGGATGGCAGCTCCATTGTGTCATCAGGAATCAGGTTCTCATCTCTCTGCTCAGCTGTCCCAATACTGGCTTTTATCTTTAGTGTCACCTCTTGGGCCAAGATGACTGACAAAGCTTCAGCCATTACATCCTTGCCCCAGTTAGCTGGAAGGACAAAAGGGGCAGAAGAAGGGCACATCTTCACCTTCTTAAGTAGCCTTCCGTACAGCTTGCTTACAACTCATTGGCCAATATTTAAGCACTTGGCCATACCTAGCTACAGGAAGTACAGAGAAGTGTCTTTATTTTGGGCTGCCATGTGGCCAGCTGAAAGTTGGGTTCTAGGAGAAAAGGATAAAAGGTATTTCTTCCTTGCTAAGTGATTTCTTTCTTTCTTTTTTTATTTATTGATTTGAGAGAGAGAGAGGAATGGAGAAGGAGGGAGAGAGAGAGAGAGAAATATCGACAAGAGAGAACATCAACTGGCCTCCTCCTGCATGCCCCTCACTGGGGATTTGGCCCAAAACCTGGGCATGTGCCCTGACCAGGAATCAAACCAGCGACCTCTTGGTGCATGGGTTGATGCTCAACCACTGAGCCACACCGGCCGGGCTCTGCTAAATGATTTCTGAGGATCCTTCCAGCTCTGCTGGTTCTGAGTCTGAATACTTTGGTGTAGATTTAATTCCACAGACATTTATTGCATATTTGCTGTTGTTGGAAGGCTATGTTCCATCATGCTGGACCATTCTTGTGGCATGAAAGTAATAGGTAATTGAGCACATAGTTTATCATTCTCCCTGGGTACAGCCTCCCAAAGAGAACTTAAACAGGTGATATGTAATTGGCAGGGCTGAGAGCTGAAAAATGAGAAGGAGCCAGCCATATGAACAGCTGGAAAACAAAAGAATATGCCACAGATTCAGCTTTTGAGGTGCCCATAGACCGGGGTGGGAGAGATGGGAGTGAGTTGTAGTAGTTAAGAATATAGGTTCTGGAGCAGACTGCCTGTATTTAAATTCCAGCTCCACCAATTTCAGCTGTGTGACGATAGCCATGTTACTTAACCTTTCTGTGCCTTAATTTCCTAATCTGTAAAATAAGAATAACAATACTACTTACCTCACAGGGATGATAAGAAAATCAAATGAATTAATATACACAAAGCAATTGGAATAGGTCTTGGAGGTCTTGGAAGTTTGAAAGGGGTTTGTGGAGCGAGGTATTTGAGTTGGGTATGAAGAAAGTGGCATGTTCATTGCAGCACTGTCATATGAGTGAAAGATTGGAGCAACTTCATTTTTCAGCAGGAGGAGACTAGATGGGTACATTGAGGTTTATTCACTCAAAATAGAAAACTTCAAGAGAAGCTAACAGGATCACATGATCTACATGATCAATATGTCCAAATCTCTAAAATAGAAAATTAGAAAAGTTGAAATAGGTTATCTACAGTCTGCTGATGTGAAGAAGATGATGATGATAGTCAGAATTTTCTTGGAGCTTTCCATGTGCCAAGCACTATTCTAAATACTTTGCTTGGCCCTGGCCAGTTTTGCTCAGTGGTTAGAGCGTCGGCCTGCAGTTCAGAGAGACCTGGGTTCAGTTCCCGCTAAGGGCATGTACCTCGGTTGCAGTTTGTCCCCAACCAGGGCCAGGGATCAAACCTGCAACCCAGGTACATGCCCTTGACCAGGAATTGAACCATGACCCAGCCAAACCGGCCAGAGCAGTTTGTTTCTTCTTTTTTTTTAAAATCCTCACCCAAGGATATTTTCCCATTTATCTTCAGATAGAGAGGGAGGGAGGGGGAGAGAGAGAGAGAAACATTGACATGCAAGAGACTCATTGATTGCCTCCTGCACAACTCTGACCAGGGCCAGGGACCAAGCCACAACAGAGGCACGTGCCCTTGACCAGAATCAAACCCAAGACTCTGGTCAGTGGGCCAATGCTCTAACCACTGAGCAAAACCAACCAGGGCTAATTTGTTCCTTTTTATTGCTATAATATTCCATTGGTTGGATACACCACAGTGTGTTTCAGCATTCACTTGTTGAACAGCATCTGAGTTGTTTCTGTTTTTTGGCTTTTGTGAATAAAACTGCTGTGTGTGAACATAGGTTTTCATTTCTGGGTCGTATAGTAGTTGCATATCTAGTTTTATAAGAAACTGCCAAACTGTTTTCCGGAGTGATGTACCTACTTCGTAATTTCAAGAACAGGATTTTGGCTGGTGAAGGAAGGCATTACAGGTAGAGGAAAGAGGTCTGCAGAGGTCTGGCATTTGAAAGTTTGTGGGACAGCAGGATGTTCCATGTTGCTGGGATGGGCTCTGGGCTTAGCTCAAGAAGAAACACAGGTTTTCTCCTCATCCATTCAGTCAGCAAATCTTAGTAGAGCTCTTATCTGTTCCAGACACTGTTCTGAGCACATGGAGGCATTGCCTTCAGAAGCGTGAGTCTAGCAGGAAAGACAGGTGAAATAATTACAAGGTGCATAGCGTACGGGGGGGAAACAGCCTTTGAGAGAAGTCTGAGGTAGGAATCTATAAACTCTGGTACTTTCCATGACGGCAAGGACCATGCCTGTCTTCTCATCTTGGCTCCAGCACATAGTAGGCAGTGAGACAATATATGTGAAGTGTGGAGTGAGTGATTTTATCCCGTGTGCACATTCCCTGTGAGTGTGGCCTGTCCATTGCCCTCTGGAAGCAGCTGCACGTCCCAATCACACCATGTGGGTAAAAGGGCAAGGCTCCGTCCAGACACCACACCCTGGAGTGAATTACCACACCACAGATTGGAAGCCAGCATGATATACAAAAGGTTGGAATGCTCTACTGGAAAATTTTAATTGTTAAATAAGCAAAGAAGATTGTAAATTCCAGGCGGCGGGACAGTATTACATTTTGTGCCTGTTGCCGCCGCTGTGGTTTCTTATCAGCCCGTTGGGGTTTCACAACCTTTCATACTTCTTGCATGTTATAGGGGCCCCTGCATAGAGTCTGTAGGACATGGTGCAATGCCATCCTTTTTCCCGTGGGGGTGGTGGCCAGGCTCTCTGTGTATTTCTGACTTTCCCTCATTCTGTCTTGTGTCAAGATTTTCTCCAAAGGAACATCCAGTGCTGGCTCTGCCAGGAGCCCCAGCCCAGTTCCCTGTCCTGGAGGAGCACAGGCCACTGCAGAAGTACATGGTATGGTCAGACGAGATGGTGAGGACAGGAGAGGCCAAGATCCAAGCCCACCTCCTCCGGCCCTACGTCGGTGTTCACCTGCGCATTGGCTCTGACTGGGTAACTTTCCCCTTCCTCTCCGGCTGGATTAGACATGTTCCTGAGCTGGGGCCATGCCTGTGGGAGTTGAATACTGAACCCATTGCACCAAGTTCCAGCCAGGCCAGAGAGTTCTCGCTCAGCCAAGTCCTTGGAGTCTCCACATGCGTTTCCCACTGTATCTCATGATCCCGCCATAGACATGTCAAACATGTGGCTCCAAAGTGCTTGCTTGCCAGCTCTTGGTTTTTGTTTCTTTTTGTTGTTGTTGTTGTTGTTGTTTTAAGTATGTTTTTATTGATTTTTTAGAGAGACAGAAACATCAATGTGAGAGAGAAACATCGATCAACCGCCTTCCGCACACCCCTCACTGGGGATGCAGCCTGCAACCTGAGCATGTGTCCTGACTGGGAATTGAACCGGGACCTCTCTGTCCATGAGACAATGCTCAATCCACTGAGCCACACCGGTCGGGCGGTTTTTGTTTTTTTCATTCCTCACCTGAGGATATTTTTCATTGATTTTTTAGATAGAGTTTAGATAGAGGGAGGAGAGAGAGAGAGAAACATCAATTTGAGAGACACATCGATTGGTTGCCTCCTGCGCAGTTCCGACCAGGGCTGGGGACCAAACCTGCCACCCAGGTACATGCCCTTGACCAGGAATCAAACCCATGACTTTGCGGGCTGTGGGCTGATGCTCTAACCGCTGAGCCAAACCAGCCAGGGCCAAACTCTTGTTTTAACAGTTGCCATTTTTATCCTCATTTTGCAGATGAATAAACAGGTATCAAACTAGACTCCGGGTAAGGCAGCAAGCCAGGGAGTTCAGACCTGCAGCCCAGGAGTCTTCTGTCTCAGCTCAGTGTTTAGTCAATAGATTATTTGTTGAAAAAGGAGTTCTGGAGATTGAGTGGGGCTCCTAAGAAATGAAAATGTCGCCCTGGCCAGTTTGGCTCAGCGGTTAGAGCGTCTGCCTGCGGTCCGGAGAGAACCGGGTTCGGTTCCCGCTAAGGGCATGTACCTCGGTTGCAGTTTGTCCCCGGCCCTGGTTGGTCGTGCGGGTGGCAGCCACTCGATGTGTCCCTTTCACATCGATGTTTCCCTCTCTCTCTCTCTTCCTCTCTCTCCCTCCCACTCTGTCTGTACAAAAAATGGAAAAATGTCCTCGGATGAGGATTAAAAAAAAAAAAAAAAAAGAAATGAAAATGTCATCTTCTAAATTTGGAGGCTGTTTAATGTGCAGAAGCCTCATTATATTATCCTCTGTGTGAAAATAACTGGAGCAATATAGACAGTCTCCTTAATTTATGTAAGAAGACATATAGCCCTGGCCAGTTTGGCTCAGCGGTTAGCACTGGCCCACGGACCAGAGAGTCCTGGGTTCAATTCCCGCTAAGGGCATGTACCTCGGTTGTGGTTTGTCCCCGGCCCCAGTTGGGGTCATGTGGGTGGCAGCCAGTCGATGTATCTCTCACATCGATGTTTCTCTCTCTCTTCCTCCCTCTATCCCTCCTGCTCTATCTGAAGATAAATGCAAAAATGTCCTCGGGTGAGGATAAAAAATAATAATAAAAAAGAAGACATATAATATACACACACACACACACATATATGTGTGTGTGTATGTGTATGTATATGTATATATGTAACTGTTAGAAATGCTCATTGTTGAGAACTTGAAAAATATAAAAATTAGCCCTGGCCAGTTTGGCTCAGCGGTTAGAGTGTCGGCCTGTGGTCCAGAGAGACTCGGGTTCAGTTCCCACTAAGGGCACATACCTTGGTTGCAGTTTGTCCCCAGCCCTGGCTGGGTCGTGTGGGTGGCAACCACTTGATGTGTCCCTTTCATGTCGATGTTTCTCTCTCTTTCTCTCCCTCCCACTCTATCTGAACAAAAAATGGGAAAAAATATATATATATATGTATAAATAAAAATTAGGTCAAAATTCATTTAGAGTCAGTTGAGAAAGTAATCACACATTTACCCACTAGACTCCCCTCCTGCCCTCCTTTGTCAAAGAAAAGGAGCCAAGCCCAGAATATATTATGAGTGATTTCAGCCAAACCTTCAAAGAATAGATAGTTCTCATCTGTACTTTCCTAGAACATACAACAATATAAGATACTATTTAAAAAAATTTTTTTTTCTTCATTGATTTTAGAGAGGAAGGGAGAGGGAAAGAGAGATAGAAACATTGAAGAGAGAGAACATTGATTGGCCGCCTCCTGCATGTTCCCCCTGGGGATTGGGCTCACAACCTGGGCATGTGCCCTGACTGCGAATTGAACTGGCGACCTCTTGGTGCATGGGTTGATGCTCAACCACTGAGCCACACCACCTGGGCAAAGACACTATTTTTTATAAAGCTAGCATAGCACTAATGTCAAACTAAGATAAAGTCAACTTAGAAAACTATATTTGCCCATTCTCACTTATGAACATAGCTGCACAGGCCCACAAGTAAAATCCATATGAAAGAACATACAACACAAACAAGTAAAATTTATCCCAGGAATGCAATGAAATTATATTAACTATATTAACACCCAAAGAAGAAAAATCATATAATCATCTCAATAGAGGCCAAGAAAGCATTTGAGAAAAGTCAACACTCATTTATGATTTAAAAAAAAACTCTTAACCAAGCAGGAATAGAAGGGACCCACCTTAACTTGATAAAGCTATCTCTCTGAAACCCACAGCAAACATGTACTTCGTGGGAGCTATCAGAAGTGTTCCCACTGAAGTCAGAAATCAGATAAGGCTGCCTAGTATCACCACCATGGTTCAGAATTCTACTGGAAGTCCTAGATAACACAGTAAAAAAAAAAAAAAGAAAAACTTTGTAAAAAGCCAATAACCCACCACCCAGAAATAACCACTATTACTGTTTTGTTGCATGTCCCTCTTCCCTCAGTGCTTTTTAAAAATAACATAGAGAGCTCCTCCCATAAGCCTGCTTTTTTCCACTTACCGGCTTGGGCTTCTGGGGTTCCAGGCCAGTTTCTGTCTCTAACTCTGTCCCCTACCCCCGTAGAAAAATGCCTGTGCTATGCTGAAGGACGGGACTGCGGGCTCCCACTTCATGGCCTCTCCACAGTGTGTGGGCTACAGCCGCAGCATGGCAGCCCCTCTTACCCTAACTATGTGCCTCCCCGACGTGAAGGAAATCAAGCGGGCCGTGGAGCTCTGGGTGAGGGCTCTCAATGCCCAGTCTGTCTACATCGCCACGGATTCTGAGAGTTATATGCCCGAGATCCAACAGCTCTTCAAAGGGAAGGTATGCGTGGGCCCTGTGGGAGTGCAGAGGGAAGGGAATCTGGGAAAGCGCCAGTGTGTTCCCACCGCTTCCACTACATGCTTCATGTCCTCCTGCCGCCAGACTTTTGCTTGGACATCCAGTGCCCCTCCAATTCCTACCCTTTTTTCAGACCCCAACGCATACCCCTCTGCAGGTTCTCTCCAGTTTTTCCTTCACTCCTGCAGCTAATGTGTCTGGGAGCTGTCACAGAACTTGATCAAATCTTCTCTGGGACACTTCTAGACTGTGTATGACTAGTGTAGAAACATGTCTTATTTCTTCCCAGGATATCCTCCTTGAAGGCAGGATCTAAGACTGTCCTGTTCTTTGGTGTCTAGCTAGCTGCTTTGAGCTCCTCCAGGGCCGAGACCCTGCCTTGCCATCACCAGTATCTAGGACAGTGCCTCACACATAGTACACAGTCAGTAAATGTTTGCTGAATAAGGATGTAAAGAGTGGCCCCGGCAGAGACCCAGTGTAGCAGAGGAATCAAGAGCATGGACTCTGGAGCCAGGTGAACTTGGGCTCTGATCACTGTGAAGCCTCACACAAGTCACTGCCTTTCTGTGCTTTATATTTTCTCGTCAATAAATTGGGGCTGAGAGTAGTACCTGTCTCATAGGGTGATTGTGAAGATCAGATATAAAGAAATGAAAGCTGTCTGGTATAAAATAAGTAAAGTTAGCTGTCATTGATAGAAGAAGTTGGTGGTTGATGAATAAAGGGAAGGGACTTTTGTGTTTAGTTAATGCTTAAGAAGCCATGAATAGTGGGTATTCAGTATATGAATAAGCAGTAGAATGTGCTTGATATTCTATGCGTGAAGAGCACGTATCGATAAAATGACTGAATTAATAGTAAGCATTCAATAAGACTTCCTTGAATGAACGAAAGCCCTAAATGCTTGTGCAGACCTTAAAAAGCAATGAGTGGCTTCACTTTCTAGCAGTGAGTGCCCTCAACTTTACATCGGGCTCCCTTTTTCTCTTTTACCCCAGACACGGGCTTGTAACAAAAGTGCTGAGTCAGTGCTCTCTGGTCTCCCACCCACCCACTTTATAGAAGAATATCAGAGCTGGGAGACCTCAGAGCTCATCTAACCCAACCCCTGCGTTTTATCGCTAAGGAAACCAAAGTCCCAAGAAGGGATAAAATTTACCTAAGAGGTCGCAGAGCTAATTATAGTGGGTGTGACACAGAGCGGGTAAGTTTCAGGGCATGAGTGGAATCGTTCAGGGGGTTTTGGCCATGATTAAACTCATATTATTATTTTTTTTTTTTTGCTACCATTCGAATAGCAAGATGATGATTTTTTGTTACATCAGAAATCTCTGTGTGACAACAAAGCACTTTCCACCCCAACTCTGCCCACACCACCACCTTGGTGCTAGGTTGAAGCATGTGGAGAGCCCCAGGGAGTTTTTTGTGAGTTTTTAGAGTTGACGTACTTGTTACGCCTTGAGCCTCTTGCCATTTTCTATTTCCTGTTTCTGCACCATTGTTATTGCTCTTCCCTACTCCTCAGCCCCCATCTCCATGGGCCCTCTTCCTCCTGAACTAACTCTTGCTTCTCCGTTAAGCCTGGCCAGTGCTGAGCTGGGGATACTGATAAATAAGAGGTGGTATTGCCCTCCAGGGCTCACAGTCTAGACTCAAGAAAAGAAACTTTTCAGACAACTATATAATACATGCCATGGGGTGGTGGTGGGGTAGGGGTGGGGTAGGGGTGGGGGCATGGGCTTATTCATTCACTTGCCCAGTCAACAGATGTTTCTTGAGGAAAACTCCAGTCAGCAGTGACAAGCAAACTGACACAGCCTAGCCCCCATCAGGGGCAGGAGACTGATATCAATCAGAGAATCACTAAGGAGTAAAAACTATAAACTAAGACGTGTGCTCTGAAGTAAAGGAACGTGGTTCTGTCAGAGTGCAGAATAGAGGACCCTGGCCTAGATTGGGGGGCCAGGAAGGACTTCCCCAGGGAGGTGAGACTTGAGCTACAGAGTGAGGTTAAGGAGTTAACCAGCAGAGACAAGCACCCTAAATGGGGGGAAGAGCATATGCAAAGGTCCTGAGGAAGGTGGGAGCCTGGGTTGTAGTGGCTGGAGGCATGAGAGGAGGTGGAGAGGTAGCCTGAACAAGGCCTTATAGGTTACAATCATGATGTGTCATCTTTATCTGAGGAGCAACACGGCACCCGTGTAAGAGTGTTCAGGTTGGAGTGGAGAGGATGATGGGTTAGAGCACCTACAGAGGTTTTCTGGCTGCTCTGTGGTGCACAGGCCAAGAGGAGAGGCAGCGAGGAGACCAGTGAAGAGGTAAGAGAGGACATGGCTGTCCCGGAAGTGGTAATCTGTCAAGAGAAGGGTTCACCTTTGGGGAATAGATTGGACAGGGCTTTAGGCTCAGAGGCATTGGGCAGCGCAACTGGATGGGTGGAGTGCTCTTTGGTCAGGTCACAGTTTGGTGGGGGAGCCAAGCCTGTCCGACTAGGGCTTCGTGAGAAAGGTAGGATTGAGCTGAGACCTGAGAGTACAAGGGGATTTTAATGGGTAGGGAAAAGGTATTCCCGGCAGAGGAGACTAATAAGCGGAGGCGAGTGCGAATGAGGGGTGTTTGGAGCTGAGGCTGGTAGTGGGAGAGGGGTGCTGGGGCTGGTGGGCCGCGTGGGAGTGGCCGAGGCAGCTGCTGGCGACACCTCTCTCAGATGCCGGCCCCACCTCTCATCCTCTCTGCACCTCCTTTTGTGTCTGTAACTTTAGCACAAAGCAAGGAAGTGGAATATGACTGCAGACCTTGGCTGAGCTGGCCACCTTGGCCTGTACCCTGGCTAAAATGCCCTGCCCTTCCTCCTGCAGGTGAAGGTGGTGAGCCTGAAGCCTGAGGTGGCCCAGATCGACCTGTACATCCTTGGCCAAGCTGACCACTTTATTGGCAACTGTGTCTCCTCTTTCACTGCGTTTGTGAAGCGGGAACGAGACCTCCAGGGGAGGCCATCCTCTTTCTTTGGCATGGACAGGCCCCCCCAGCTCCGGGACGAGTTCTGACCCTGGCTAGAGCACATCACCAGCCCAGCTGGTTTCTCCAGCCAGGCCTGGCAGCCGGAGTCGCTCCCAGGATTGATCTCCAAAAGAGCAAGCTTCTATTTTTGGCTGTCAAGGACAGAGAAAAGTACCAGGGACTTCCTGGAGGAGGAAGATGGTCCATCTCCCAGTGTATAGGACTTCCACGCTCCCAGGAGCCAGACCCTCTCCCATACTCACGTGCTCTGGCTCTTTCTCCCAGGAGTTTTTCACACCAGCAAAGTAGTCCAGCTACTGTCTTTTGGTCTGAGCAGCCTGGGATACTGAACTTGATTCAGAGAGATTTTATATACATATCTATAAGGAGAGAGAGATTTTTATAGTTTTGATACAAGGTCATGACTATTCAGAAGTCTTCCTCGTTTTTTAAAAAATCAGTGAGGTTCATTAACATAGGTACGTAAAGTGACCTTAACTGAATGTAGATGAGACCTTAACTGAATGTAGGGTGGGGTGGGGGTATTCATCACTTTTCCATATGACCCCCAGAGTGACCCTCAGACTCCTCTCCACTGCCTAGCTAGAGCCACTGCCACCCCACATCTTGGCCCCTTTCCAGGGTTTGGGGCATAAATACTGTCCTCCATTATAAACACTATGCAAATAGAAGTTGTCGGTCATGCGGCCATACAGAGCTCCACAGACGGCTAAGTGCTGCTCACGTAGCACATTCCCTGAAAGCAGCACACACCATCAAGCCAGGCCCTCATAGCATTGGTCTCAGTGAGAGTCTCTTGGTAGTTAGTGGCCCGCCACAAACCTGGCACCATCAAGGTCTTGTAACACATCGCCAGGGACCAGGGCTTACTGGTCTGGTGGGATCCTTCTGAAGGCTGCCATCTCCTCCCTGATCTCGTGCCTCAGGGGCCTGGTTGTAGAATTTTGCCATTAAGTTGGTATCCAAGGCCTGTCCTCCCAGCCTTTCTCCTGTAGCTGGAGCCCTCACACCATAGTCTCACAAGGAATTGCTTGCTAAGCCTCTGACCAGACAGAAGGTGCCCAAACCAGGAGCCACTGGAGTCCCAGTTTGGAAGCCACTTTTGCCCCTTCCTATCCAATGTAATCTCTGACCCCATGAGGCCTAGGGTGTTGCAGTTATTTCTTTGTCTCTTGGATGCTGTGGTTGTAATAACCCATGACTCCTGAGAGTCTGACTTCTTGGCCTTGTGGTTCTAAAGTTCGAGTCTAACACCTACTGATCTCTCGCCATCGTGTGACTTCTCTTGGTCTTCGATCCCAGGAAGGTGGAGGAGACTCTCATGAGAGCCAGGCCCAGAGCTTCAGTCAGGGACTTCTTCCTCAGGTTACCTTTGGATGGGATACTTTTTTTGTCAGGGCAGCCCAGGTCATAGGTTGCAGGGTAACAAGGGTGCCAAATACCAAAGGTGACATTTATTGCTTAGAGCTGCTGTCCAATTCTAAGTAGGAGAAACTGTACAGAAAGGGATATTGTATTTTCTCTCTCAGGAAACAGTGAAATGTTTTACATCCTAGGTGGACTCTGAGAGATGGTTTATCTATTCAGACTTGTTCAGGAGCCTCGTTCAGAGACTCAGAGTGTACTCCTGCCTCCATCCGCTGGTTGGGAAGGCATAGCTCACTAGCTGATTTAATTTGCCGGATTCATTTGCCCTTCACAGCGTGCTGTAGTGTGGGCCCTGAAGGGCCATCCAAATCGTGTTGATTAGCATTGGCCGTAGTAACAGCTTGTGTTTCTGGCGGAGAGGGCACCAGAGTTGTAGTCAGAGTCAGTGTGTTCTGTAGGCAAGCACTTTATTCTTCTTTGACCCAGTTTTCTCACCTATAAAATGGTAATAAAATCGACTGGGTTGTTAAAGGACTCAAATCAGATAAAGCATGTACAAGAGCACATTGTAAACTTGAAAGAGACAAAGGCACATCTGTAGCTGTTGGTTCATTTGTCTGCTTCTTGCCACACACCTACTCTGTGCCAGGCACTGTACTTGTTAAGTGATTTATGGGCAGTCTCTGATTTAGTCCCAACCCAGCCCTGGGAAGCAGGAACTGTTATTATCCTCTTTTTTCTTTTTAATTAAATTTTTTTTTCTTTATTGATTTTTAGAGAGGAAGGAAAGAGATAGAAGCATCAATGAGAGAGAACATTGCCTGGCCTTCTCCTGCATGCCCCCCACTGGAGGTTTGGCCCACAACCTGGGCATGTGCCCTGACCGAGAATCGAACCAGCGACCTCTTGGTGCCTGGGTTGAAGCTCAACCACTGACCCATACCGGCCAGGCGTTACTATCTTGCTGAGAAATTAATGCTCAGAAAATTCTCATAATTTTCCCAAGGCCACACAGCTGATGGCAGTAAGCCACGACTTGACCTCCCAAAGTCAGTATTGTAGCCATCATGCTCTGTTGCCCCCAGTTCACAGGAGGCACTTTACTTCCACTGGGCTCCTGCTGTGTGCTGGCCACTGCCCGGGGGTTCCAGGGAGAGGGAGATCACCCGAGAAACAGAAAGCCACATGAAGCTTACAGTTCCCTTGGGTGGTTATTCAACATCCTTTTAGTAGCAAGTATGTATTGATCAACTGCTATGTGCCAGGCTCTGTGCTAGGTACCAAGGATTCAGCAGAGAATCAGACACGAAGTCTTTGTTCTCAAGGAATTTGCATTCAAGTAAGTAAAAGACACAACAAAGAAATGTATCATGGGAGGTGTTGATTAAGTGCAGTAAAGGAAAATAAAGGGCATGAGGGGTGAAGAGGGGGAATAGTGCTGTTTTAGGTAAGGGGCTCAGATAAGGCCTCTCTGAAGGAGGGAGGGGCACTCACTCCGATATCTGGAGGTAGCGCAATCCCAGGAGAAAACCAGAAACGTCAAGTGCAAAAACCCTGAAGCTGGAGAGAGCGAGCGAATCATAGCAGGAGGCCTATGTGGCCACAGTGGCAGAAGGAACAGAGCAGTAGATCAGTGGTAAGGTGAGACTTGGCTTTTGTTTGGAGAGAGAGGGAAAGCCTTTATAGGGTCTGAGCAGAGGAGGGTCATGGTCTGATTTACATGTTGAAAGACTGCTCTGGCTGCCAGTGGAGGAGGGGCGGGAGGAGGAGTGGCAGCAGGGAGACGGTGCAGGGCTGTTGCAGGAATGCAGGTGAGAAAGACAGCCCAGGGGTTAGGCCAGTCACTGCATTGAAGATTGTGAGAAGTAGTCAGATTCTGGATACGTAATATTTTTTAATTTCAATTTTTTCAAATCTATAATTTTTTGTATGGTTTTAGTCATGTAGTACATACAATTTAATGTCCTGTCTTTCATGTGATAGTATATTTTCTATGTTGGTACATCACCTGAATAAACGTTTTTAATGATATAAAATTCCACTGAGGGGTGTCCCATAGTTTATTATTGTCCTATTATGAGAACTTAGTCTGTTCCCAATTTTTCACTATTATTTGAAAAATATTTTTATTTGTAAGGTTTTTTTTCTTTTCATTTGTTGTTGTTTTCTTTTTCTTTCTTTTCCCTTTTTTTTGGGGGTAAGATTTTTCTGTATTGAAAATATTCATTAAGATAAATTCTCAGAAGTGGTTTTGTTAGCTCGTAGACTTAAATATAAAAACTTTCATTATGGAAAATTTCAAATATGAATCATAAGTAATAAAATAAACTCCCAGTTTCAAAAATTCTAAACATTTTAGAGTCTTGTTTTATTTCCAGTGTCAGCCCCAAGTCCAGATTTTAAAGAAAAGCTGACTGTTTTGTTTTTTGTGTGTGTTTTTTTTATCCTCACCTGAGGACATTTTTGCATTTATCTTCAGATAGAGCAGGAGGGAGAGAGGGAATAAGAAAGAGAGAAACATTGACATGAGAGAGACACATTGAGTGGTTGCCACCCACACGACCCCAACCGGGGCTGGGGCCAAACTGCAACTCAGGTACATGCCCTTAGTGGGAACCGAACCCAGGACTCTCTGGTCTGTGGGCCGACGCTCTAACCGCTGAGCCAAACTGGCCAGGGCAAAGCTGACTGTTGTTTGTTTTTTTTTATCCTCATCCGAGGACATTTTTCCATTTTTTGTACAGAGTGGGAGGGAGAGAGAGAGGAAGAGAGAGAGGGAAACATCAATGTGAAAGGGACACATCGAGTGGCTGCCACCCGCACGACCAACCAGGGCCGGGGACAAACTGCAACCGAGGTACATGCCCTTAGCGGGAACCGAACCTGGGTCTCTCCGGACCGCAGGCGGACGCTGTAACCGCTGAGCCAAACCGGCCAGGGCCAAAGCTGACTGTTTTGAAGGAAGAGCCGGCAGGGTTTGCTGACCCCAGTTCACAGGATGAATAAGGGGTCGGAGAGGAAGGGAGGTCCAGGATATGCTGAGGCTTAATACCCAAGCATCGAGGAGAAGGAGTTGTCCCTGACTTGCAGAGTGACCTTGAAGCAGGTCACTCACCTCTCTATCTTACCTGAGTTCCAGGTGCTAATGGTGGTCCTGGCAATCTTTCTCAAAGGCAGATTCCAGGGACCCACCCAGACCTGAACAATCAGGATGTCTGGTGGGCTGTGCCCAGGAATCTTCAACTTACGAAGCACTTGCAAATGATTTTGATGTCCAGTGGCCCAAGACCTACTTCATTTGTGCTTAGACCAGCAGTATGGACATCACCTGGACAGCTTGTTAAAAATGCACACACTGCTCTGGCTGGTTTGGCTCAGTGGTTAGAGCGTTGGCCCACAGACCAATGAGTCACGGGTTCAATGAGGGAGGGAGGGAGGGAGAGAAAGAGAAAGAGAAAGAAAAAGAGAAACATCGATGTGAGAGGGACACATCAACGGGTTGCCTCCCACACGACCCAACCAGAGCCGGGGATAAACCGAAACCAAGGTACATGACCTTGACCAGAATTGAACCTGAGACTCATTGGTCTGCAGGCCGATGTTTTTTGGGCTTTTGTTTTTTTACCCTCACCAAAGGACATTTTTTCATTTTTGTTCAGATAGAGTGGGAGGGAGGGAGGGAGAGGAAGAGAGAAACATTACTGTGATAGTGACACATCGAGTGGCTGCCTCCTGCATGACCCAACCAGGGCCGGGGACAAACTGCAACTGAGGTACGTGTCCTTAGCAGGAACCAAATTCGGTCTCTGGACCGCAGGCCGACATTCTAACTGTTGAGCCAAACCTACGGCCGATGTTTTAATTGCTGAGCCAAACTGGCCAGGGCGGGTCCATATTTTATAAGCAAAACAATGGGAATTACATTTTTAAAAAATTAAGTAACTTCTAATAGAGATGGGTTATGGATTAAGCAGAAACGGAGAAACTGGTGTTCACAGGAACCAAAGCTAGGAAACACTGCCCTGATACATCGTAGGTCCTCCAAAAATGTGGAAGTGAGTGGAGAGGGAAGGAGTAAGGAAGGAGGGGAGAGACTGGATCGAGGGAGAAAGAAAGAGTTGAGATCTCATTTCAATGTTCTGTTCACTTCAAAAATGCTTAGTGAGTAATAATAATAATAAGCATTCCCAGACCCAGAAGTAAAGATTCCTTTCTCTTCTCCATTTTCTCTCTATCCTTAGTGGAGTTGATAGGAAAAACCTCATTTCCTGAAGGCAAATCCTTTACTCTGGATATATTGTCAGTATTCATTCAGATTCTTATTTCAGGGTTGGGGCCTTTTCCTTGAAATAACATTGTTTAAGGGCAAGCAGGTTTGATTTATTTTTACATCTAATTTTTTATTGATCATCAATCCCAAACCAGGTAAACTGTGGGACGGGAAGGAGCAAAAGGCATTTTCCAGAAACCACCTCTTTTTCCACATTAAGTGACTCAGTAGAAGTGGGGAACAATGCCCACCCAGGGGTAGCAGAGGGAAAGCCTGGAGGAGACCCTCCCCTCTGTGAAAATCCTCCCTTCTAAGAAAACAAAAATGGTGACCTACATTCATTCTCTCCAGTATGGGAGCTATTTTCCTTCCCTAGCATCCAAGAGGTACCAGCACTAGCAGGAGAAGAGAAGGAGCTTTTTAGCATCTTCTCAGTCCTACTAACAATTCCAAAGAGAAAGTCTCAGTTCTGGGCCTGTATGTCACTAAGAAAGACCTCAGAGTCAGACATTAGCTAGGTAGAATTTAGTAACACAGTTTTGCTTTCATTATATTTATTTTTGGATACTTTATATTTTCATTTACAGATGTGGCTTAGAGTTTCCTTTTAAGTAATTTATTTAGGTTATAAAAAGTGAGCTGATTTAGAGAAAAATAAAAAGTAAATGATGACGTGAATTATGAAGACTAAGTTTAGGAGACCCTCACTCAGCCTCCTTTTTTTTTTTTTTAAAGATAGGGTATGCCAATTTTAATTTTAAGCTTAATTAACTTGTTGTTGTTGTTAATCCTCACCCAAGGACATTTTTCTATTGATTTTTATTTTTAGATAGAGTGGAAAGGAGGGGGGGGAGAGAGAGAGAGAGAAACATTGATGTGAGAGAGATACATCTATTGGTTGCCTCCCGTGTGACCCTGACTGGGATCGGGGATTAAACCTGCAACCCAGGTATGTGCCCTTGACTGGGATTTGAACCCACAACCTTTCGGTCCAAGGGCCAACTCTCTAACCACTGAGCAAAACCAGCCAGGGCACTGGGTCTCATTTATATGCCAGGCCCTGAAGATCTTCAGAACAGGATGCATGGGACTACCAAGGGGGAGGGGCAAGTATTAAAATTACTGTAAAAGAGAAACTCTATTGTCCATTTATATTCTACTCTCTTTACATCTCCATGCTATTGTCAAGACTTTCCTATTTATATCATAATCATTAATGTTTCAAGATCTTATTCTAGCCCTGGCCGGTTTGGCTCAGAGGTTAGAGCGTCGGCCTGCGGTCCAGAGAGACCCGGGTTCGGTTCCCGCTAAGGGCACGTACTTCGTTTGCAGTTTGTCCCTGGCCCTGGTTGGCCACTCGATGTGTCCCTTTCACATCGATGTTTCTCTCTCTCTGTCTCTTCCTCTCTCTCCCTCCCACTCTATCTGTACAAAAAATGGAAAAATGTCCTCGGGTGAGGATAAAAAAAAAAGATCTTATTCTAGAAAATGTCCTCTTCTGAG